CGTCTTCGCGATCAACTCGTTTTCACTTCTAACTTCTTCACCCTTGCTCCAATGTGCCAACCACAAGAATTTTCATCGGCACAATAGAAAATAGGCATTCCATTTTCCGAAAGCGACCCAAACCCATCTCAACCCAGCAAACACCACCTCCTTTGTAAATGTGCCAACACCACCAAGTGTACACCACCATGTGTATGTGTGTTAGCATTTTCACAATCATTTCCCAAAGGATTAGCCACTCAACTTGCCACGCCACTCGATCCTAGCAGCGATGCAAAGTTAGATCACTCGAGTGACACTAGATGACCGATATGCAAACAAGTTTGCCCTCTTGATAATACGGCCATCTATCCTAAACCCGGTCATAAACTTCTCTACACACCTATGACCGGTGAAATGAAATGCCCTAGGTTATACCTTTGCCTTGCATGCATTCCATTCCATCTCCTCCAATATCGATGCAACACATGCACCAACGCGATCAACAATGATATGGTCCACTTCATATCATCACGTGATCATATTGGTTCATCGATCTTAACTTCACTTGCTCTTCACCGTTGCCATCGTCCATCGGGCGCCAAGTCTTGCTTAAGCTTCACCGCCACGCGGTCCATCACTCCAAAGCCTCCGACTTGCCCTTCACGCTTTGCAACTGGTCTATCAAGCCAAGTCTTGTCTTGATCTTCTCCACCTTGATCACATGACTCAATGTCATGTCTCATGTGCAATGAGCTCCTTCATCATCACATGTGTGAGTTTTGCAACATCTCCAAGCCATTGTCACCTTCATGGCATATGTTGCTCACACACATGTGTACTGTGGACTAATCACTGTGTATCTCACATAAACACAATTAGTCCACCTAGGTTGTCACTCAATTACCAAAACCAAACAAGGACCTTTCACGCCGCCCTCCTCTCCTAAGGCCGGATCCATGCCGGGGCGACCTCCTTTCAACTCCCGCGGTCTGATCTACGCTAGGGCGGCCTCCCTTCAACTTCCTCGGCCGGATCCACGTTGTGGGGGCTGCCCTTCTCTCCCCCCGACTGGATCCGCGGCGTGCCCTCCATTGCTGGCAACGGCGCCTCCATCGACTCGTGGCGGGCTGCGGGAGGATCCACGTAGTGGGGGCTTTCCTTCCTCTCCCCTCGGCCGGATCCATGGTGTGCCCTCCATTGCTGGCAGCGGTGCCTACATCGACTCGTGTCGAGCTATGGGAAGTATTGGGGCTGTGTTCCATGGAGGAAGCCCAACATCGCCAGCCCCGCCTACCTCCACCGTTCTCCGCCCGTCTTCCCTCCGTCCCTTCCCCAAGGCTGGGAATCCCCACCTCCAGCGGCCACGGCATCCACTCTGCAAGAAAGGTGAAGGCAGTGGTTGTGTGCTCATAGGATCCTTTGAGCGTTGCTGCAGGTTAGAGGAACATGCCGATCTCTGTTTTGTTCTTCAACTCACAGCTTTGGTCCTCTTGGATCTCTATTCTTTCTGGAGTCCGTCAGTCACCGTTTGGTCTACAGATCTACAGGCCGGCAGCAGGGGTGCAGCAGTAGCTCAACTAGATCAACTTTTCCTCTGTGCTTGGTTCATGTGCAACAGCGGCAGCCTAGGTTATTTTCTAATACAAGTTTCATTGGCTCAAGTTATGCTTTATCTTATTATTCAATCACTAGATTTTTAACTCCATTCTTGTCTTGATTTTTGATTTAGATAGCTTGGCAAATATGCTTGTGGGGTTGCAGTAACTTAATCAAGTATTTATTTGATTGCTCTCTTGAACCGCAGCTTGTTTAGTGGTCAAAGTTAGCACTTGGTTAATATTTTCATACTTACTGAAAATTGTGTTGCCTCTATTTCTGTGCTTTCACCCAATAAAATCATCATAGGTTGTACGACCCTTGAGGCATACTGACAGTAATAGCAGTTTGCTAGCGTTGGCTTCAGTTTGCCTATGTTTTGCAGTTCCAGTTACCATTTGATTACCTGATAGCCTGAAAAGGAATTTGCATATAATTTCTGCTGTCTGGCTTAGTTTTGATTGCAAGTTTATATCTTAGTGCTATTATTCATTTAGTCACGTATTTTGTTTCTGGGACCTAGCAGACCTCAATTGAGATCCTGGTCTCCTGTTTCTTCTGTAAGCTTGCCCTAAGAGCAGGAGCGCATCCTGTTATCAGCCTCCTATAATGGCAAACTTCCATAACGATCACTTGTTATATTGCTAGGAAGTAGAAACTTCCTTGCTAAATCTAATTTGTTCTTTTTGCTGGCAGGTGAGATCTATGGGAACGAAAGGGACTTGAGAGGTTTTCTCTTATTTGGTATTCAATTGTATTATATTGCTAAAGAGAGCCTTATTGTGTATAGCAAACATGTGTAAACTTGTATGTCCTAAGCTCCTGCCACACTGGTTTCACTAATTGCCTATAATAAGTGAACGTTACTGTCTACTCTATGTCACAGCCAGTTTTATGTCGACACTTCGTGTAGGGCCATGCTATGTTCAATTGGTCACTGGTAAGCCTCTTTGTGATGTGAGCCGGCGAGCCAGCAGGGGGGCACTGGTGAGATTCTGGCAAACTACGCGTGGATGAGATGAATCCATTTATCTAGCATAGAGCAGAGGTGCAGAGCACGCTGTGCGGGGTGCTGCAGCCTAGGATGGGGCAAGCGGGCAGGAAGATGTTGGCAGCAGGCCAGGCGGCGCGGTGGCTGCATGGAGCGAAATGCCGGCGCGCTGCTGCTGCATGCCTAGTGATTATGATTTACAAGAATTTGTATTGGAACTAATGCTAAGGTGACACTAATGACAAGGAATTACTAATTCTAGAAGTAGAAACAATGTCCCCATAATGCTCTGCTAATGATTCTAGACAAATAGCGGTACATCTTTTCATTGAACCATTGAATATGATATATTAGACTTATAATGCTTTATGTGTGACTGTTGCATAATCTCTTCATCTTGGCTACTGCAGTGTGAGTGCTTCTCTGAATCTTTGATTTACTGAGAGCACTATGCACCAACCTAAATTATTACTTTACCAAATCAGGTAATCTTGTGTCAACTCTATGTACAGTGTGCCATTTTAGTATTTTGAGGTGATCTTGACTTTTAGACTTCTATTCAGTACAGTTACAATGCCTCATGCATTTTGGTTTTAATTCATAAGTCTAATTTGGAGCTCTGGCGTACTCCCTGGAATGGTGATTGTGTACTAGTGCTAGCAGTAGGAGTCTAATACTAATATTTCAGAACATTTGTTTTCAGCTAAGGCCTGTTGTGGTGTAGTGAGTTGACATAATTTTCATTTTGCCTTGATGTGTGATGCATGACCAATGTTCTTAATTAAACCTATCTGTGATAGGTAAAGTAATGCAAGAAAAAGGAGTGCAACAAGGCATCTAGACCTCTCAAGAGCACTGTAGGTATGTCCCTAAATTTACATTCATCAAACTGCGTACAAAACTAGTGACAAATTGTAAAAACCTAGTGACTAAATTCAGCATATAGAAATATATTTGGAAGACAAAACTAGTCTCTTGCTTACTGTTTCTAAACAAAGGTGTCTTGACCTTTTTCCTGATATTTGTACTGTTTTTAAGGTGAAAAGGAGCCTGATTGTCTAGTTAAAGAATAATAGTATTATTTTCAGATGTCGGGCCTCATTAGCAAGCAGTATTATTTTCAGATGCCGGGCCTTATTAGCAAGCAAAAGCTGTTTAGTTAAATTGAATCGGTTGGGTAATGAAATTTAGAGCACAAGCATCTTCCTTTTTTTTTCTCAGAGCACAAGCATCTGATGCTCACATGTATGGGTACAAGACTAGTTAAGCAGCAAGGTGCTAGTGGGGAGCAACTACGTCTTGTTCTTGAAGCTCTGAACCTGATCAGGGATTCACAGCAGTGCCCAGCAGTGATGCGGGCCTTGCCGATGAGGCAGTGATGTTGGCCCCGAACTTGAAATTTAGTAGTAACTTTAAGACCTGTTTATACTATATGGTTCCATTCACCAGAGTTTTGCTGAACCACAAATCCATGACCTTGCATTACTGTTTGAATTTTGAACATGAATCTTCACTGCCTCCTTTGTATTGAAGACATGTTTTACTCACTTGTGTAGCATGAAGGATGTTAGCAGCTCAATGGCAGTTGATCACAGTTGACAGCATCAGGTTTGTCAACTCTCTATTCTTCACATTGCAGCAACAACATCAGCTCAACGGTCGCACTGAGCTTTATAGAATGCTTTGCATGTGTGTTGACAGTAGCACTAGATCAATAGCAGCATGTGCTGTTTTTCTTATTTAGCCTTTGGTTTAATTTCTCTCTTGTTTAATTAATTAGAGCATTTATTAGCTGGCAAATTAGTAAGTTAAATCAATTAGAGCATTTAGTAGCCGGCAGATTAGTAAGTTAAATCCATTATTTCTTTGCTTCCAATGATGTATTATTGTCGAAGTGATATTTATGTAAATGTATTTCAGGGAATTAGGCCTTCTCTGTTTTGAGAATAACACTTTATATCTTACAGAGTAATACACAATTTTACTACTATAGAAGTGATGATTTCATCTTGTTCCATACTGATATGCTTGGGGTTGGTTGTTTAGTTCCTCATTGGTTGTGATGTACAAGACAAATTGGATGTACAAGACAAATTCATTTGGTGCAACTGAGATCCTGGAGGTGCTCAAGAACTGGCCGGAGAGGAGCATCCAGGTCATCGTTGTCACCGACGGCAAGCAAGCCATCCTTGGCCTCGGGATCTCGGTTGCCAGGGGATGGGAATTCCCGTTGGCAAGCTCTCCCTCTACACTGCCCTCGGAGGTGTTCGCCCCTCAGCTGTAAGCGCTGCTCACAATGCCGCTTCTTCAGTGTTATTACTCCTAATAAACTTGTACTGCTGGACTGCTGGTAGTAGGAAAGAATTGGAATCGATTTGCTGTGTTCTTTTTTCCTCTTCTCTGAAGATGGAAAATGATTACTCTGCTGCAGTGCCTGCCGATCACGATCGATGTCGGCACCAACAACGAGACCTTGCTCAACGACGAGTTCTACATCGGCCTCCACCAGAAACGTGCCACAGGAGAGGTCAGCCACTGATCTGATCTGCAGGGCTGTTCTGTTCACCATCTGCAGCTGCACTTGGTGAATTTGTTGTAATCGATCTCTTGTCTGGAATCTGGATTGAGACGTGTTTTCTGTATTGATGGTTCATACAGGAGTATCATGAACTTCTCGAAGAGTTCATGACCGCCGTCAAGCAAAACTACGGCGAGAAGGTCCTCACCCAGGTCAGTCTCAGTCGTCGGTCACAGTGGACCAGTCACAGACACTACCATACTTGCTGTTGTTGGTTTTCGCCTTTTTGCCGCTGGCCTTTCTCTGTGTTCCTGCCAACTCCTGAATCTGAAATGCGATGTTCTTGTTGACCTGTGACGTGCAGTTCGAAGACTTCGCGAACCACAACGCTTTTGACCTGTTGGAGAAGTACAGGGAGAGCCATCTCGTCTTCAACAACGATATCCAGGTAGCTTATGCAGCTCTGTGTGTTGACAGTAGCACCATGGTCCATTGGTCCATGGATGCCAAGTTCAGAAACAGGGGGTGCTGCCTGTTTTGTACTCGTCCTTTTCTTTCTATACTGTGCCGATGAATGAACAAAAATGATGCGGGTGTAATTGTTGCAGGGAACAGCCTCCGTGGTCCTGGCAGGCCTCCTGGCGGCGCTCAAGGTGGTCGGCGGGACGATTGCAGACCACACTTACCTGTTCCTCGGTGCCGGCGAGGTCAGTTGCGATTATATGGTTTGATCTACATTATATACTACAACAGTGTTAATTACCTTACCTCTTCTTTCTCAAAGTTTTGGATCAAGCACGGGCTGCTTTTCTTGGTGAAATTGACACGCTTTTGTTGTCTGCTTGCAGGCCGGGACTGGCATTGCGGAGCTCATTGCTCTCGAGATGCCAAAACAGACTGGGTCTCCGATCGAGGAGTGCCGCCCGAAGATCTGGCTGATGGACTCCAAGGGCCTGATCGTGGCATCACGGATAGACTCGCTGCAGGCATTCAAGAAGCCGTGGGCACATGAGCACGAGCCCGTGGCGACGCTGCTGGAGGCGGTGCAGTTGCTGAAGCCGACGGTGCTGATCGGCTCCTCGGGCAAGGGCGGCACCTTCACCCAGGACGTGGTGGAAGCCATGGGTTCCCTAAACGAGAAGCCCGTGATCTTCGCGCCGTCGAACCCGACATCGCACTCAGAATGCACGGCGGAGCAGGCCTACACGTGGACGCAGGGCCGTGCGGTGTTCGCGAGCGGCAGCCCGTTCCGGACGGTGGAGCTGGACGGGAAGACGCTGGTGCTAGGCCAGTCCAACAACACCTACATCTTCCCTGGGTTCGGCCTCAGCGTCGTCATCCCGGGCACCATCCGCGTCCGCGACGACATGCTGCTGGCCACCTCCGAGGCGCTGGCGGAGCAGGTGACGGAGGACCACTTTGCCAAGGGCCTCATCTTCCCGCCCTTCACCAATATCCGCGCCATCTCGGCCCGCATCGCTGCCAAGGTGGCCGCCAAGGCCTATGAGCTCGGCCTCGCCAGGCGCCTGCCACGCCCCGACGACCTCGTCAAGTATGCGGAGAGCTGCATGTACACCCCCACCTACCGCAGCTACCGGTAAGGATTAGGACCATGGCTGGGGACTGCGGCCGGCGCAAAGGAAAGGAAACGGGTGAATTATTATTATAGACAGACCACAGAGTGATGAGTGAATAAAAAGTTGAGCTGATGATTGTTGCAGCTAAAGGAGTGAGTTTACATATATACGTTGATTTCTACTGTATTTCATCTTGTTCCATACTGATGTACAAGACAAATTCATTTGGTGCTTGACTTTGATGGATGTAATGTACAAGACAAATTGGATGTTATATGTATTGAGTTGCATGTGATATGTGTTTGTGTATTTTCATGTGACATGTGGACACAATATGAGCATTGAATATCGTTTTGATATATGCTAAAGATTATATTTTTTTCTATATTAAATTGTTCTATTGAACAGTCTTTCGCCGTAAATGTATGGAGTGTTGGATGATCTGATGATGAATGTGTGGTAATAGATTATCTGTCGCTAAAGAGTGGCAACACGCTATCTGTCGCTGTAAATATTCACTGCAACAGACTATCTGTCGCTAAAAGTACCATCTGGCGCTAAAGATATTTAGCGACAGGACTTACAGCGTCTGCGTAAGTCTGTCGCTGTAACTTTTTAGCGTCAGTTCGTCTGTCGCTGTAGCCGCTTTTAGCGTCAAATCATCCATCGCTAATCTTGGTGTTGTGGTGTAGTGAAAGTAACAAAGTACTAGGAAATCCTTAGTGGTAATCAAGGTAGACACATGCAGCATGAATTAAATGATTAAAGGTGTATAGGACAACAAGGATGATCCCATGCTATACTTGTCTTAAACTTAGATCCTTCTTCCAGTCCAAACCTTCATAGATCTGCTTCTTGATTCACCACGTATAGCTCACCGACTGGACATGATCATAGAACACCAAACAAGCATCCATGCAATCATACACGAAGCAAATAATAGAACTAAATTAGAACAGTACAACAAACATATGAAATAGTGAAATAGTAAGTAAAAAGGTTTTAAAGATGTTTTACATGTTACTACGAACACACAGACGCGAAAAGCATTCTAATCGGAGCTACGGTGAAAAAGATGCATCTACCGATAGATTTGCTTCGAAAAGAAACTATAGGCTTTATTTATTTTAATTATAAAACATATATAAGATACTTCAGAGAAATATCTAAATTATTTTAAGCCAAATTATATTTGTATTAGAAAACCAACATAAGATTAATCTTATTTTATTTACAAAAGACAGAGGTGAAAAGCCCTAATTGCTTTCAGTTGAAAAACTAATTTTTTTTCTCGAACAACGCAGGAGAGTCACATGTCATTTCATTAAGAGAGAAAAGATAGTACAAAAGTCCGGTTAAGGACTAAAACCCCAGCCAAGAACACACCCCCACACTTCTACAAAAAGAGGCCTATATACGCGCCACAGACACAAACACGACCTCGACCAAATACCCCCAGACCTAGGCTGTTGGGGCCTGCGACCTCACCAGGAGTTCCTGGAGCTTAAATGCTCCAGCCATCCCCCAAATGTTGATCACATCAGACACTGTCTGTAGCAGCAAGGAGATGTTAGGTCTAGCATTCTCAAAAACACAAGAATTTCTGTGCTTCCATACGTCCCAGGAAACCAAAATAATTAGTGAGTTAAGTTCTTTCCTTATCCCCTTCAGGACTGCGCTCAGAGCCCTCTTCCACCATAAGGAAAAACGAGTCTCAGAAGCTGAGGGAGTTAGGTCTGACATATGAAGAGGTTGGAGGATCAGGGACCAAATCTGTCTTGTAAAAACACAGCCAACCAATATATGCTGAATGTTTTCCTCCTCCTGATCACTAAGAGGGCAGACTTCATGATGAGGCAAGCCTCTTTTGGCAAGGCGGTCCGCAGTCCAACATCTATTGTTGATGGCTAGCCAAATGAAGAATTTGCAACGGAGAGGCGCCCAACTCTTCCATATCCTCCTCCAGGGAGCAAATTTAATAGTTCCTACAAAAAATGCAGCATAGGCCGACTTGCTGCTATATACTCCATTCTGTGAGAGTTTCCATCTTATTTGATCTGGAACTTCTTGCTGCAAGACAACTCCCTCAACATGATCCCAAATCCGAAGATATTCCAATAGAACCTGAACTGAGAGAGCACCCTTGATGTCTGCAACCCAACTTCAATTGACAAGAGCTTGTGCAACTGTCCGTCTTCTAGTTATCCTTTTAGGGATGGCCTTGAATAGGTTGGGAGCCACTTCCTCTATAGTTTGTCCATCAATCCACCTGTCTTTCCAAAAGAGGGTGGAAGCACCATTTCCCACAATATGGTCGACTGCCATCTTGAACAATGCCTCGGCATTATGAGGAACCTGAATTTGGAATCCAGTCCAAGGCCGAGAAAGATCGGATTTTTGAGCCCACAACCATCTAACCCGTAGTGCCCAGCCAAGGGTTTCTAGATTAGGAATCCCCAATCCTCCATACTCTAGAGGGCCGCTGTACTCTTTCCCGGGACACCAAACAATTGCCCCCATTGGCTTGTTCCTAACCCTTCCAAAAAACCCCTTCTCCTCTTCTCAATGGCTTTTAACACCCACTTTGGCAGATCGAGAGCCATCATGGAATAGATTAATTGAAAACTAATTACATATAGATTAATCAGATTACTATTTTTATTCAAAAGCTTTAAACTTGTTAAACAATACCACTAGTATATAGATTACGTCATTACGAATATAACGCAACTTGAACGGGTCAAATACAATAGAGCTAGATTAGAAGAGTACATCAAATATAATAAACAACAAGTAAAAAGGTTTTAAAGATGTTCTACACATTACTATAACGAAGAAGTTATGAATTAAACAAGATTTCCTTTAATAAAATAATATATTAAATCTAACATCAAATTTCAAAAGTTGGAAACATGTTTAACGATAGGATGAACATGTAGATTACTCAATTACTGAATCTAACATAACTTGAATGGGTCAAATCGAAGTTAAAATGGAGAAGTTATGGCCTAAAGAAAATAGTGGCAAAACTATAAATAGATGAAAGCGTATTTTAGATCTAACTGAAGTAATTACGTTTTCAAAAGAAGAAAACGTATTTTGAATCTAACAAAGGAATTTACGCTTTCGAGAAAAGAAAACGTATTCTGAAACTAATATAGAGAGAAACTACGCTTTCAGAATAGGAAAACGTACTCTGTAAGTACGCCTTGGACTGCGGGTTCGGATATAGAAAATTACAAGGGTTCTTTAGCAAAAGTGCAAGGACGGCGGGTTCGAATCTACTAACGTGAGGGGGGTTTTTTTGCAAAGTTGCGGCTTAAAAAGCAGTGCAGGTGAATCTGGGCCGTCGGATCGAGAGTGGACGGTGGGGATTAGAAGAAGGAGGGAGAGAGAAGACGCGGCCGCCAGAACAGGGCCAGGTGTGGTGGTTGCCATCGCCGGAATCGGGAGACCTCACCGGAGTTCGTCAATCCAAGCGACTCTCGGGCATCATTGGCCGTGGGGTTTGCACGGAGAGAGAGAGTGGATGAAGGCAAACTCACCTAGGGGATTTTCGACGGCAGAGAACGGACGGGGACGGAGCGAGGCGACGCTGGGCTCGGCGGTAGCTAGGGTTGCAGCGGCGGTGCTGCGTGCTAAAACAGAGGCGGCGGCTGTGAGCCAGGGTTGGGACGAGGGCGGCGTGGCACCTGCTGCTCGGTATTTAAGGGGCGAAGCGGCTTGGAGCGCACGACAATGACGCGGAGGCGGGGCGGCAGCGTACTCCGGCGGCGGTAGAGTCCGACTTGATGCCGACTCAAGATGGAAGACGCCACCGACGCGTGGGTCCGGCACGTCAGCGACACAGGGACGAGGACCAACTGTCAGCCTGAGAGTAAGGGAGGGCGGCGGCTGCGCGAGTGGGTTGTGGCCTGCGGGAGCGGTGGAGAGCTGGGCTTGCGGCGTGTGTGGGGCAGCGGTGAGAGAGACGCGAGCGCGCTGGGCCGCACGGGAGAGGGAGCAGGCCATGGAAAAGGAGAGGGGGATGGGAAGCTGGGCCGGCTGGCCTTCAGGCCAGAAGGGGAGGAGGGAAGTTTTCTTTTTTTTCATACAAATTTTCAAAACCAAATTCAAATTCTTTTGAAATTTTGATCAAACCTAATCACCACAAAATAAATATGTAGCACCATATATGCACAAATATGTTGCTACCTCATGATAAATTTTAAATTATTGAAAAATTTTATTTTCCTATGTTTTCATGAGGACAAAAATTCCAAATTAAATCATTTAAGCTCTATTTCCAAAAAATCAAATTTTAGGGTGTCACAGGTCACACTAACCTGGCCTGCAGCTTGCCCGAATGGGGAACCACCACGCAGCCAAGGCAATGGTCATCTCCGCCTGACTGCCCGTGCCAGCAGTGGATCTGGGGAGCAGCATGATGCACCGCCATCAAGGAGCAGTCTAGCCGTCCAGCCACCGACGCAGATGCCTCTCTCTCTGGCTTCCAGCGAGGCTGGCGCTCGCAGGCTGGTGTTGAGATGTGAGAGCTGTAGGAGGCAGGAGGCGAGTGGGGCGCTCGTTTTTATGTGCCTAGTGCAGGGACAGTGGAGGAAAACTGCTCGGGCGAGGGCAGACACTTCGTTCTTCGGATATTGGTGTTGGTGAGATTTCCCACTTGCCTCCTATTCCCAAGACACATGGCCGGGCACCATATTTCTTACTCATTAGAACATCCTACCTCTCTTCCGTTAACTAGTGGTTGCATTTTGTCAAGTTACTTGCGGAATAGAAAGCACTATGCAGTAATATATATAGGCGAGTGCCACTGGGGAAGTAGAATCTTACTTTTTTTTCTTTGTTTTAATCAATGCTGCAGTTGGAACTGCAGGCACTGTACCTTTTTGAGCCACGGACTACTCTGTAATCACTCATTAATCATTTCCAGAAAACCAAAAAACAAAAAAATTAAGCATTCTCAAGACTCAAAGCGCAACCTCACACTAGCATACCACCTTCTTTTACCACTGCACTGCACA